CCGGTTATGAGAAAAAACCGCATAAATTGAGTTTCTTACTATCCCATAAATGTCTTTTATAAAGAGTATTTGAAATGACTTTAGGACATGTTATTCAGACTGCAAATGTCTAGAGAAACCTCAAAATCAGACTTTTGACCCTTACTCAAAAAGTTATTAAGAAATATTCATTACCTTTATCTAGATTCAGCTTCAGCTTTAAGTGTTTTTCTCAAGTTTAGCTTTAAGTGTTTATCTCAAGTTTACCTTCTCTCTCTCTCTCTCTCTCTCTCTCTCTCTCTCTCTCTCTCTCTTAACCGTCAAAACCGACTTGTGAGGAATATTGGACGCATGGAAGACATTGTGGGGAAAATGCTTTTGTATTACGTTTTTATTGAAATAATAGGTAATTTTTATCGAAAATAACTGTCTTGTTATAGAGTCTCCTTTCTCATCCTAAAATTTACCTATATCTGTATTGTGACGTCACAGGAACCCTGATGTGACCTATCTATCGGCTTCAGCATGTAATAATAAAAAAAAATTATGGGGAATGTTTTAATTTCATTTTTATGGAGAAGGTCATCAGAACTCCTCTGGGTTTACTTTTGAATTAATTTTAAACATCACTCTTGATCATGTTACTGATGTTTTTATGAACAGTTTACTCCGTGTCTTCTACTTATTTGTGGATACAATTTTACATGGACATTTGACATTTTGATGTACCTTCATTTTTTTAAAGGTAGAACCTATGTCGGAAAAGTCTTTGTCACAAGATTTTCAAACTTTTCAAAATGATAAATTAGTACTTGCTTATCAACCAGATAAAAGCACAGGCACCTGTAGTATGGATATCCCCCTTTTTTCTGAAAAAAATGTAAAGGTGCATAATACCTCAAAAATATATATAATCCCTGTCAAACACATCTATATGTCGTTATATGAAAGCAGAATGTACTTTTTCTCACGTTTAAAGAATGACCCTATTGGTATAATAAAATAGTAAATTGTATTTATTATATTATAAAATTATATATTTTGAAGGTATTATACACTCTTACATTTTTTTTCATAAAAAGAGGGGGGTATCCATACTACCTGTAGGTGCCTGTGATAAAAGCTGACAGTGAGGCATAATATATTTCCCGCTTATTTTTAAATGTAGTAGTACAGCCCACAGGCACCAAACTAGCTTGAATTTTTCATATCCCCAGTATATTATACTAGGGTCAAAAATTCACCAAACTCGTTCCTGTGGTACAGCCTGTAAAACTTGCCTTCCAAAACATTTCTTGTTATGCAATGTATAAAATGCCGACTTTAAATAAAGAACAAGGTTCACTTTTGCCTTATTTGGCCCTGTGAATTTCTCGAAAAACTGAAACTGCATAGTTTTAATTAATAATTATACTTTGCATATCACTTACATCTATGGTGACTGCATATCTATCAAAAATGGCGTCATTTTCTGGCTAGTCAATGCATTATGACGTCACGAAATGCGTCAATTTCCTTATATTTTGAAAAAATCTACAAAAACGGTCAATTTTTAAAGCTATTTTTCGGTATTTGATATAGAGCGCAACCTCTGATCTAAAACTTACAACTAGTGAATAATAGAGCTGTTTCTGAGGATTAATGGACATGTTTTAATTTTTACATCAGAGAGTGCGCTCATATTATTTTTTTTCTTTACTGAAAGTACTTAAGGGGGCCGACTATAGTTTTATTGTGTGAAAACTACAATAGCAAAACTTCAGTATACATTCAAAGTTTGGGGAAAATCTACTGTCCAGTCCAGGTATTTTTGAGGGACCGTCTCAAAATACAGGTACATTTACTAAAGGATCATATAGGAAAATGCCAATTTTTAGCTTATATTAGACATTTTGTTCAAACTATAATATTTGATGAGTAATACTATATTATACAATTTATGTAAGAAACACAAAATTCTACCGTCTTGTTACCAGAGGGGGCATCTCAAAATACAAAAAATTAGCAAATTTTACTATTTTTATAGAGTATTACAAAATATGACGTACACAATAGATTCACATGAAAACATAATAAAAATATTGGGGATATTCTTAAATATCTATGTTGTCAATTTCAAGAGCATATATTTATTACTTTTTCCATAATGATATTTTAATACCCCTTTCTTTAAGAGCTACAGATTATCATAACGTCAAAAACACACTGCAACGACGTCAACCTACCTATCAATTGCAAAATCGCTTAAAAAATCAGTTATTCATATCAAACTTTAATTACATTTTTATACCTACAATATCTTAATTTTGTTTAATTTCAATAATTAAGCGAAAAAAGTTGCATTAAAACAGTACATACGCTTCATTTTACTATGATGCGCGAAATATTGCGCAATGGAAACTATAGTTGGCCCCTTTAATTATACCTGTTTACCTAAAAATTCAAGAACATTGCAATTTCATAAAGCCAGTTCTCCAAGACCTGAACTTTTACCAGACATTTTTTAAAAGGATATGAAGCACCAAGTATTTATTTTATTTTAATGCTTCAAATTAAAACTCAGGTGTTGATTAATCAATTGGTATATCTACAGGACCACATTTGATGCATAAACTGAACCGACTTCTTTACTTACTTACTTACTAACTAATGAATGTGCATGTTTAGCATGTGCTAGATCCATTATGACGTCATAATTAATTCAATGTCATCTTTTCCCGTACTTTACAGCTTCAATAGAAATAAGTTGCATTTTGAAATGCACAGAATTCAATTCAAACTCATGCCGAAATGAAATAATCTTAAATCAATATATATATATTTTGGTAAGAATGTTAACGAAAATATAGTTCTTGACTTAGAGAAACATGTTTTCACCTTTCATTTACTAGATCTTGACTTAATTAAGTTGACAAATCCAAGACTATCTTGTGTAATGAAATTACAATGCATACAACTTACTGTTATTTACACATGTAACTATTTTGAAGAAATGCAAAAATACTAAGAAATCTTCAGTTGCCAAAAAACTAACCCTAACCCTAACCCAAAGTGTAATATCTTGAAGAAATGTTTCTAAGTCAAAGATGTTCATATGTTGTAGATCATGTATACATTTTTGTGATATTTATCATGAAATGATGTTCATTCCTTTTCATAATTATTTGTTACTTATTCATATTCTTGGTGTCTGATTTCAAATTTTCCATGAAATATGATCTTTTTTAAGAATAAGTTCAATTTTGATAAACATTTGAAAGTAACCCCAAACAATAATTTAAATATAAATCCCGTGTAAGTGCAAAAAGGTCAAGAATATTAGTATCGGTAACTGTAAACCATAGTGCTGTATCTATGTTTCAGAAACGTAACTATGCTAAACACTAAAAATATTCAATTGCGTTTGCAAAACATAGATTACTAGTATCTGATAAATACAGTTTCCACTATGATTTGTGAAACTATGATTAACAACTCTTAACTATGGTTTACGGTCGTAAATTATAGTTTGCAGAAGTGAATCTATATCTATGTCAGGGGCGGAAACAGGATTTGTGGTTGGGGGGGGGGGGGGTGGATAACTTTGTTGAGGCAAGGGGTCTGGGGGCCGCCTTAAGGCCCCCAGTGGGTCCAGGGCAAAGTCCTGGTGAATATTTCTCAAATCTCATTGTAATGCCACTACATGTATAATAAACGATTTAATGACTTACTATTATAGTGGTATAAGATAGTGATGTACCAAAGTACGATGCGTAACTGTTTAATACTAGTCATATCATACTTTGATATGGTAGGGACCCAGGGGGCGCCGCCCCCGGAAGCTCCTGGATTTCTGTGTATTTTAAGAGTAAAACAAGGCAGAATAACAGTGGTTTTGTTAGTTTTGTACCAAAATGTGGCATTATAAATATTAGTTACAGCATACTTTGAAAATTTTAGGGACAGGGGGGGGGCGTGGGCCCCCCCCCCCACGCCCCCCCTTAAATCCGCCAGTGTATATCTATCAACAAATTTTTTGTTAAGATTTTATTACAGACAGATTAAATTAGATTAACATTAGTAGTATAAACCGTCAAGCTAGGACCGCATTCTGATTGGCTGAGAGAAACCACGTGATCAGTTTTGATTGGTGGAGGGGATAGGTGGGTCAACTGAGTGCAGCCCCTGGGGGATAGGGGGGTGTCAAGGGAGTGCAGCCCCTGGGGGATAGGGGGGTCAACTGAGTGCAGTCCTAATCCAAACTAACCCTCCCCCTAGCCCTTACTAACCCTAACCCGTACCCCCCCTAGCCCTAACTAACCCTAACCCCCTAGTCCTAACTAACCCTATCCCCCTTAGCCCCCTCTAACCCTAACCCCTTTTTAACCCTAACCTAACCTATCCCCTAAATACGGAGTTGTTTACACTGTGTTTACATTGGTACGTTGGTACAACGTTTTGTTTATGCTAACTATACAGGTAAATGCACCGTGTGCAAAAAACATTACAAGAATGTCATTATGACGTCACGCTTCACAGTCTAGACAGCCTAACCAGTTCAAACTGGTTTTTTACTGAAAAAGACAAATAACAAAAACCTGGATTTTTTACTGAAAACAATAACAAATAACACACACAAGACAGATTATAACAAGAATCAATACGTTTTACCTGCGTTTTTATACCTGTTTGCATCAACTGTAAAGAACCGTGTGCAAAAAATTAGGGTCGTGTGCAAAAGAAATATACCTTTTACCTGTGTTTCCTTATATTCCTCTTGCATCATCTATAAAGTGCCGTGTGCAAAAAGTACGGTAAAACTTACCTATGCATTGTGACGTCATCCACGTCAGCGAGCTACCCTATGCATTATGACGTCATACACTTGTAAAATTAAAGTTTCATTTTCACTTTTGTTTCTAAGAAGTCAACATAGATTTTCAAAAAATGTAGGACTATCTTTTGTTTTTCCTCTCTTTTACTTTGATGATTGTTATGTTATGAAACTTTTCTTGTATAAAGCTCAATTTCTCTATGACCACGGAAGTAAACATCCTGATGCATTCTTGTCATGTGAATGTTGAGAGCGTGTTCATTTTTGAAATTTTGAAATCTCCTTTCTGACATATATATTCTACAGGTAAGTTTGTCTTATTTTTGTTTACATTTCCTATGAAGGTCATCTTTGCATTTAACCATGATTTATATGTAAAGTTCTATTTTGAATTTAAATACTGTATTTATCCTCATTTCATGTGATTTAAAGTTATATAACCTGCATGTAACTCAGAGTACATTTAATATTTCTATGATAGGTCATTCTATGATTGAATTTCAATCAGAAAAATATTCACTAAATTTTGATAAAATACATGGTATCTTTTTACATTTCTATCCCTTTTGTCTGTAAATTATTGCTTTACTTACTTTGTAAAATGAGGTTAAATGTGTATCACTGTATTGTATGATTTTTTCAGGATCAGCTGAGATGTTATTTCACTGGATTATTTAATGGATAGGCTTATTGGGCATATATTTGGATATCTCTGGTAAGTTTGTCTTGTTTTTTTTAATTGTTTACATTCCCTATGAAGGTCATATTTGCATTTAAGCATGATTATATGGTTAATTTAATTACTGTGTAATACTTATGTGATCTGTTGTCTCTAACTTACATTCATATAAATCATGATATAATTTCATAATTCATTATGTATGTTACCCATGGAATTCAGACTTACTAAATGGTGATCAAAGATATATTAATTAGGAATCTAATAAGAGAAAAGTAAGAATTTACAAAAGATTAATCCTAAATCATTTACTTTTTGTTTTGATTCTAAATATGTGTGATATATGGTATACATATATTTTCATTTTCACTTTTGTTTCTTGGTAATGAGCTTTTCAAAAAAAATGAAGGACTACATGTTGTACTGTGATGATGCTAAAAAAAAATAAAATATGTATTTTTCTGTATGCATTACTGATAGCTATTAAACCAAAATTGAATCTGCTGTTAATAAAAAGTCTTTTAGTGTCTAAATAATTAATTTAATAATCATTTTATTTGTGATATTAATACATTAGTTGTGCTTGTTTATCATCTATAAATAACATGATGAACTTTTCTCATCTCGAGTTAATGTTAAAAACAATTTGTTTTGAGTCTAAACAAAAATATTTTCATGATCTTTTTTGACATTGTACATGTTGTATTTAAACATGCATTGTTTCATGCAGTACTCTGTCATATTTAACAAAATGCTTTTATTTCTACAGTCATCAACATGGAATGTATGACTTCATCTTTATACAGTCGGGTCCGGGTTCGGCGGCCATGGCGAATCTCGGCAAGATTTTACCCCAGTGAAAAAAGACTTGTAATCCACCGTGTTGGTCTTTTAAAGTTGTTTCACATTGTTTATGATTGTGATTATGTTACCACTCACCTATATGTTTAATGTCGGCTATGCTAAATAGCCCATTTCTGTGAAATTTGAGATAATGTTTTGTCATGTGCTCAAAGTATGGCCTGCTATTCATGTCATCATTTAAAGTCTATCCTAAATAAACCTGTCTTAAAAAATACATTTTACAAATGACATTTAATATGATTAATTAGAGTAAAGAAATCCATATATATAAGAGATATTATTTTACATTACATTTATAAGAGGCATTGTCTCATGTAATTTAAATCATAATAACAAAATGGGTTTTATTTTCTATACAGTCCTCAACCTGGAAGATATGTTTTGTTCCTAACCATCTATAATCCATTCTCTATGAAGTGAAGCCTGGCTGCTGGTCTTCCTTTGGAAATACACAGTTTGTCAATCAACATAGAAACACACAAACTTGAAGGTAAAGTTTCAATGAGATACAATTGTAACTTTTATTTATTTATTTTGTTACATATGCATGTTTATATTTTGGAATTGATAAGTAAATGATATATGATTTTTTAAATAAAGAGGGCTTGGTGGTCATGGTCATGTTTAAACCATATTGATATCCTTCACAAGAAAAGGCATAAAAATTCATGATCAAATTTTAAAACTAAAATGTATGAAGTTTTTCTGTGCCAAATGATAGTTAACAGCTAAAGATAGCATATCTATGGAATAAGTTAAATATGGCTAATTTGTTAACCCCAGCTTCCTTAATAGCATAATTGGTAAAGATAGCAAGTTTTGACTTCAATTGCTTATGAATTCTCATTTTTTCATTTAATATTAACATTATATCACAGGGAAAGAATACTTTAATGTGGCTCATCAGGATGACCAGAAAAGAAATCTTAATGGCCCTCTTGACTATGTATAAAGACTGTAACCTTATAACTGATGTAAGATGATCTGATTGTGTGGAATTAAAATTTCCTGGTGTTTCTACTACCCAAGATCTTCTTATGAGTGCATGGGACTGCTGTAAACCTTCTGTTAAAGCACACCTTGGAGCATGACACTTTATTCATAAAAGGTACTTTCAATATCATTTCTATGAGTTTGTGTTCTTTCTTTTATAATAATCTAGTGTTATATCTCCTTTAACCTCATTAATATGTATGCTTCGAAAATCTTAGATCTGTCTGTATAGTTTCTTCACCTCTTTGAACACAAATACCCTGAATCAAACTTTTGAGGTAAACATCATAGAGACATCATAGATGATTATCAGAGTGTGTATCACAATCTTGACCATAAGGTCAATTTAAAATGGTCTAAGGCACAACAAATGAAAGTGAAAACTTTTTTTTTATTAGAATACATAATTTTGTAATAAAGAAATACTGGAAAAGTTACTCTCATAATAAGCCTCAATGTCCTCCAAGAGTTCAGTTTGGACTTCCTCCATTAATCCTTATATCTTGTAATCCTTGTATCTCCAATGATTTTGTGGGCTAAAAATCATGTGTCTTTTTAACAATCTTTTTTTCTGACAACTGTTTTCTCTTATCATCTATAAACTTGACTTCTTCTCTAGTCAAAGGTATTTCAGGGTAATCCAAGTAATTCTTACCCTCTTTTGGTAATAACCCAGATAGCATGACTACGTTGGCCCAACGTTGGCTAATGGTTGGACCGTTGGCGGATGGTTGGCGTTGGGTTTACAACGTGGGCCCAATGTTGGGCCAATGTCAACATCACACTATTTGACTCAGAGGTCGAGGTTGGTTGGGGACACAACGTTGGCCCAATGTTGGACCAATGTCAACATTACACTATTTTACTCAGAGACCGAGTTTGACTGGGGACACAACGTTGGCCCAACGTTGGGCCATTGTTGTTAGCTTGTCACCACTTAGTTGACGGATTTTGTTGGGAGTACAACATTGGTCCAACGTTGGGCCAACATTGGTGAATTACGCTCTTATTTTGCTATAGTTTGTTGGACATACAACGTTGGCCCAATGTTGGGTCAATGTCAAGATAACCCTATTTTACTCAGAAGATGAGGTGAGGACACTACAATAGCCCAACATAGGACCGCTGTTTACAACATTGGGTTTACAACGTTGACCCAATATTGGGTCAATGTCAACATTACAATATTTTACTCAGAGGTAAAGGTTGGTTGGGAAAACAACGTCGGCCCGACGTTGGGGCACTGTTGTTAGCTTGTCACCACTAAGCCATCAGATTTTATTTGGAGTACAACATTGGACCAACGTTGGGCCAACATCGATGAGTCACGACCTTTTTCAATACAATTTTTGGTATAGACAACGTTGAACCAACATTGGAATGAATTCATAATTCAGGAAGCATGTAAAATGTTTGTTATAAAATGAGAAAAAAAGATGGAAAGTGAAAAAAGAAATACTTATTTATATTCATTTAATGTTACATATATACCATGAGTAATTTCAACACACGCATAACGATGTATATCAAGTGATATTTTTAGTTTGTGAAACTTTAAAATATGTATAAATGTTAAAACACTTCTATAATTCTATGAAATACATGTTTTAGAGAAAAACATAACATATAAATTTAACTTAAAGTTAAACAATAATAAGTTAATAAAATTAACATGCATATAAAAAAAAATATACAAGGCGAACAAAACACATACTTTCTAAAATGTTGCATTTAGGGGGCATATCCTAAGATAAGAGAACATTTTCTGACCAAGCAATTAGGACAGAGTTTTTCATAGCATGAGACTGGCCAGTTTCTATGGTAATTGTGATATCTGATAGGACAGGATGGTCAAATCTGCATCCTCTTAGCACGCCTAACATTTTAATCTCGGATGTTTCCTACAGCAGAACGTTGAAGATTTTATGCTAAAAGAAAGCTTTGACATGTGAATGTGGATTTTTAGAACTATGTCCAGACATTCAAATACGGAAATGTAAGTGTTTTTTCATATTTTTAAACACAACGAAAATTTAAATTTTGTTTCATGCAATCTTTATCTTTTCTAAGCTTGCTTTAGTCAGGTCAGTCGCTAATCACTGCATGTGTACTTTCTGTATAAAACGTACAAAATAAAATGTATCATTGATCTATGTTAATTATTACCTTAATCAAAATTTATTTGTAAATTTCACTTTTAGATATCTTTGAAATTTTGGCTGGGTCAGTTTCGTTTCATAAATTTCTCTTATATTTTCTACCATTAGAAAAAGAAAGCTTGGAATTGTTACTTTGCGTTTCACATGTTTCAGGGAAATCAAATCTCTTAAGATTAAAGTTCTAATTTTATTTAATTAGTGGAAATAACTTGGTAAATGAAGAGGAGAGTATTTGCTGCCATGTTTTTAAAACAAAATTGCAAAGAATTCCATTTGAAGACAGATAAAGAAAACCGGCTTTTTCAAAGATGACGGGAATTTAAAAAGTAAGTAATAAAATTAACGTGCTCCGTTCCCCTGAAAAATACTATTAGTTATACATCATAATAATGCAGAAAAATTGTAAAAAATATATCTAAGTTAAAAAAAAGTCACACCCAAAATTACACATGTTAAATCTTTTAATAATCGAATATTCTTTGTAGTTATAGTTTCGAATACACAATCAAATAAAAATACTATAAACTTGTGTAAATTAGGTACTGCATTTCTCTTTCTTTTTGCACAATAAAATTGATTTATTTTTCATTTAAAGGAGCTGTTCGAATTACCCGCTTGTATGCCGAAGTAATTTCTATGGAATTTCACTGCGTAAGATCGTGAAGGAAGAATAAGAATAGACAGGAAAAGAAAATTCAAAAATACAATGGAGGACAGTGATTGGTTATTAACCTGTTAATAAAAAGTGTATATAAGTAAAATAAGTGAAATTTATTCTACTATATATATACAAATTTCAATCTAAATAAGGGGCAACCTTTTTTTTTAACTGTATTAAAAAAAATTGTTATTTCAAACTTCCATTTACTTTCCTTGTATAGAAACAATAAATTTATCTTTGATAATTTATTTTGTTTTGATAAATTGTAGGAAGTTTATCAAGTCAGATTTTACTTGTAAATTTAGTAAAGCTAACTTGTATTTTCAAGTAGGATTGGTGGTAGATATTTTTCTGATTGTAGAGACGATCGGATTTGTTAATATACAGATTTCTAACAATAAAATGTTTATACACATTGGGCCAATGTTGGTCTAATATATTGGGCCAACATTGGGCCAATGAGGAAACTTACATTGGGCCAACGTCATTTGCCAACATTGGCCCAACGTTCTTGATGACGTTGGGCCAACATTGGCCCAATGTCGCATTCATTGGTCCAATGTTGGCGCAATGTTGGGCCAATATCTGTAGAAATAACACTCTACATTGGGCCAACGTTGGCCCAACATATCGGGCCAACATTGGGCCGATGAGCAAACTTACATTGGGCCAATGTCATTTGCCAACATTGGCCCAATGTAACCGATGACATTGACCCAACGTTGGCCCAATGTTAGCATGCTATCTGGGAAATGGTTATATTCTTCATTTGCTTCTTCTGCAATCAAGGGTCTTTCTATGTAATCTCTAACAACATTAGGATCACCCTTTTCTGGACATAATTGGTTATATTCTTCTTGAGAAATGATCTCAATAGTGCCATCTTTTTTTATTTTAACTGGTATACCTCTGTCTACATCTTTCTCTGAAAGAATTCTCTCTCCAAACTGAATTTTACTTATTCCTTTACTCTTTTCTTTACTAGAGGTGTTACCCATGGTTAATATGAAAAGTCAAAATCTTATGTTACAACTTGTATTTATACCCTTTTTGTCTATATTTAGAATTCCATCAAGCTTATATTGCATTACAATTTTTCTTTTTTCAACTAAGACATTATTTTTTTTATTTTTTCAGGATTCTCTTGTGAGGGCTTATGGAAATGATCTATGTCTACTCTTAGAATGGTGAAAGACTATCAGATTATGCAAAGATTAACAGAATATCCTCTCTTGGAACACTGAAACAAGAAAACCGAACTTAAGAGGATGGAGGATTTAAGAAGCACATAGATAAATATGATTTCCAGCGAATTTATCCAGTACAATCATAGACTGGTTTACGGGATTACAAAGAAAGGACTCAGGATGGTATCTTTCACTGTCAGACACTGACTATGGATAAAGTGTAATCATTTATCAAACTGAGATCTAGTCAAATCAAGTATTGAAAATATGATTTTCTGATAGCATGAGCTCTTTAAAAACTTATTCTCACAGACCTCAAAGTATTTGAAAGTGACTTTCATTTTTAGCAATTCATATTGAAGACTGTTGTTATGTATGGGAATTACACATTAAAACCTTTTATTTTTCATCTAATTTTTACAACCCCCCCCCTAGAAATTAACACAGATATCCAGATGCTGGATTTAATGTTATTATTAAATTTCCTGGAATTGTAAATATATTTTGTTTGTGTATGTATCATGTTTAATTTTAAATTTAAAATTGGTCTCAATAAGACCCACAATAAAGATGCAAGTGTCCCATAATCTGTGTTTTAATAATATCTTGAATATCTTTATTATACCATATTCATTATACTAATTACATAAAGAATGGTTATAGGAATACACTCTGTTGTTAAGGACACTTTGTCAAGGTCAAAGCATAAGATTATTGAGATGACTTCTTTGACAATAATTTGTAACTTACAAACTTCACATCATAAGTACACACTCAGATGAAGAATTAATAAGATATTTCTATAGAGTTTTTGGATCATTTACTCCTGGGTAAAAGTTAATTACTGAGATTACTGATTTGAGTCCTGTAATGCAATAACTTAAACATTGTGTAATAACTTATAGACTTTATAAAAATTAGGTGCAAATTCTTAGGAAAGGAATGAAATGTTAATCAAATGTACAATGTTCAAAGCTGTTTATATGACCATTACTATGTAATACCTTGGGTTTCTGTAAAAATCCTATATTCACTACATAGATAAAGACCTGTATAATATATATTTTAAACTATGCTGAAGGAAAAAAAAGTCAAAAGCTCTCCCCTTCATCTCTTTCATATTCTGTCATACACAACAATAGATAAATTGCAGTCTTATAACAAACTGATGTCTAATCAAATCCTAGAATTGATATTGTGATTTTCTGATAGTATATGAGATCTTTAAAAAATAATTCCCAGACTTCAAAGTATCTAAATTTGACTTTTATTTTTACTAATTCATATTGAAGATAGTTGTTATGTATGAGAAGTATACATTTAAACCTTTTATTTTTTCATCTTATTTCTACAACCCCTAACAAATTACACAGATGTTTTAAAGCTAGATTTGGTGTAATTATTACCTTCCTGGAACTTTAAAAAAAAATTTGTTTGTGTATGTGTGTGTCCTATTTTGAATTTAATAGGTCTCAATAGGACCCCCATAAAGATGTAATAATATCTTGAATATTTCTATCATCCCATAGACTTCATGCTTATTACACAGTACAGGTTAGAGTAATACACTTAGTTTTATAAGACACTTTGTCAGGGTCAAAGCATGAGATTATTGAGATAACTACCTTTGACAATAATTTGTAACCTGCAAACTTCACATCATAAGAAAAGAAAGATTCTGAGATGATCTATAGATTTTTGGATCATTTTTCTCCTGGGTAAAATTTAGTTGTTGTGACTTTTAACATTTTGTGATAACCTAGAGACTTTATTTTAGCTTTATTGGGTGGCATAGCATATTCTTTGGAAAGAATTGAAATGTAAATCATATGCACTATGTTCAAGGTTGTTTAAAGACTATTACTATGTAATACTTTAGAATTCTGTAAAAATCTTATAATCACTGCGTAGATAAAGACTGATTGAAATAATTTATGTTTTGAAATAAGGTTTAGAAAAAAAGGCAGGAATGTGGATATGACTTTTATTCAAATGGTGCAGTACAGCAACTCTGGTGATTTACATATATTCAGTCATAAATAGATAGGTATTGGGAAGACTCCTCTAGATTTTGAAATTTTCATTCAAAAGTATAGAATTTTTTTTTAAGTTTGAAAGATTTCATTCCTGGGTATTCAGCATATATTGAGGTTTTGTCTTAAATTTGTTTGCTTATGTAATCAATAATTTGAGAATACTCAAATTAGGTAATATATGAGAGAATAAACAAGAAAATCAGGTTTGAAAAATGGTTTTTACAATTAATAAGGGGTTCTTTTATATATTTAATCTATAAGTAAATTCAGTCTATACAATTAAGGTATTTCTGTATGAAATAAACTTGCATTTAAGCATTTTAAGTCTATTGTAAACATTACTTTAACCACTTTTTAAAAAAATGATTAGATTCACTGTCAGCATGTTATTTCCTATAAAATAAATGAGAAAACAAACAATTTAATTTGAGTCAGTTACTTAATGTAAATAAGAAGCATTGGAAATTGGGAATATTTCACAAAGTTTAATAATAATAATTAATTTATACAAATTTTATTCACATAAGTGAATGACATGGGCAGCAGGCAAAGCCTATTTGAGCCCTCTCCCTAAAGAGGATAATTGAGCATAATTCTCACTAAGACAGTTGGAGTATTTTGATTTAAGCATTAAAGAAACCATTTCAAATTTCAATATACAAATCATGTTTAGTCATGCAGTATATAGTTTACACTTGCCAAAAAGTAAATGGTTATCTCAATTCAGGATCAATCCAAAGGTCAAAAAAGGAATGAAAAAAATATATCTTTTTTATGTATCAAACATGTAGGTATTGCAATAAATTCACTGTATTCATTTTTTTTGTTTTCTTTCTATGTATGAATAGCTCTGATTTAGGAAATCAAAATACAAGAAGTAAATAAATTATGTCAAATGATGAAGGTATACACCAGAAAATGACATGAACAGATAATTTTGAGTTTCCCTCAAATATGGTTGCCAAGGGATGTGAAATAAAAACAAAATGTGGATTCATCTATTAGGATTGAGACTTGTACATAATATGAATGATGGTTACTATGACATTAAGAATGACATGAAAGAAATAAGTTTGATTCAATTATATAATTAGTTCTTAATCCATACAGTCAAAATGGAGGAAAAAATTTCTTTATTAGGCATGAAGTAACATAGAATCACCCAATCCATCAAAATTTTACCTTTTGAAGAAAAGGAACCCTACTTGCTTTTTTAAGTTGACATTCATATTTTTGTGTTTGACAGGTAGAGCAATGGTTTCTAACTAGTATAGTGAGAACTTTATTTTAGAATCATCAGATTGTTCTGATATTCTGGTTAAGATATCAACATGACATCAATTAATTTGTTCATACAAAGGGATGAAAGCTTTTCCAGGTTTCCTCTTTACTCAGATTAGATTGTGTCTTGCTAATATATCCAACATATAAGATACTCATCAAAGTCAAACAAAGGTAAATAAATGACCTTAATAAGTTTTTAGTCAAAAGGTCAAAGAGATGTGTACCTCTGCTAAATTTAATTGTTTAGTTAATATTCATCAAACTTCATGGATAGGTAAATTAAACAAACTTCATATATTTTGATTTTCAGGTTAAAGATCAGCACACTTTTTGCTATACCATTGTTTTCCATGAATATCTTAACATCTCTTTTGACTTTTCAGGTTAAAGGTCAATGTATTCCTGCTACAGTAAAATTTCATTATAAGGATCTCATAGTGATATTCTTTATTTGTAAGGAATTAGGTATAAAATCTCAGACTCTTTCTATAATATGTCACTGAATGTGCTCCTTCATTTTAGAGAGTTTTACAAGCAAATCATATACTGACTTTCAATCCTTCAAAACACAATATGTATATTAAATCTTGAGATTCAGACTTTCAGACTTTTAGGCTTTCAGCCTTTTAGGATTTCAATCTTAAAAACATTCAGACTTTCAATCTTTAAAAACTTTCAATCTTGAGGACTGAGTATTTTAATATTTATCTTATAAGTCTCGTCTTTTATGTCATTACAATTAGTCTTTAGTAATTCAAACTTTTCGTATTTGTAAAACCAAAGTGTTGAAATTACAGTGTTTGTGTAATCTTCTTAATGTTTATCTAGAATTACTGCTTTTAATACAGTCAAATATAATTTGTGATGATCAAAATTTCCAACTGAATTCAAAGACAAACTGCCTGACCTATACATATTTAGAATTTCAATATCATACATTCTTGAATATCCATAAATATCAAAATATAATGATTCAGCATTAGCTATCATCCATACACTTGTTAACCTAAGGAACGCTCTTATCATAAGTTAAACCCATGAAATTCCTCATGCAATTTTGAAGAATTTCTGTTATAAGGGATGGTGAAGACAAAAGAAGAAAAAAAGTATGGTGTAAAGTTAGCCTCACCCAACACCCAAGGGAGTCCTTTCTTTGTAATCCCGTAAACCAGTCTATGATTGTACTGGATAAATTCGCTGGAAATCATATTTATCTATGTGCTTCTTAAATCCTTCATCCTCTTAAGTTCGGTTTTCTTGTTTCAGTGTTCCAAGAGAGGATATTCTGTTAATCTTTGCATAATCTGATAGTCTTTCACCATTCTAAGAGTAGACATAGATCATTTCCATAAGCCCTCACAAGAGAATCCTGAAAAAATAAAAAAAATAATGTCTTAGTTGAAAAAAGAAAAATTGTAATGCAATATAAGCTTGATGGAATTCTAAATATAGACAAAAAGGGTATAAATACAAGTTGTAACATAAGATTTTGACTTTTCATATTAACCATGGGTAACACCTCTAGTAAAGAAAAGAGTAAAGGAATAAGTAAAATTCAGTTTGGAGAGAGAATTCTTTCAGAGAAAGATGTAGACAGAGGTATACCAGTTAAAATAAAAAAAGATGGCACTACTGAGATCATTTCTCAAGAAGAATATAACCAATTATGTCCAGAAAAGGGTGATCCTAATGTTGTCAGAGATTACATAGAAAGACCCTTGATTGCAGAAGAAGCAAATGAAGAATATAACCATTTATTACCAAAAGAGGGTAAGAATTACTTGGATTACCCTGAAAGACCTTTGACTAGAGAAGAAGTCAAGTTTATAGATGATAAGAGAAAACAGTTGTCAGAAAAAAAAGATTGTTAAAGACACATGATTTTTAGACCACAAAACCATTGGAGATACAAGGATTACAAGATATAAGGATTAATGGAGGAAGTCCAAACTGAACTCTTGGAGGACATTAAGGCTTATTATGAGAGTAACTTTTCCAGTATTTGTTTATTACATAATTATGTATTCTAATAAAAAAAAAGTTTTCACTTTCATTTGTTGTGCCTTAGACCATTTTAAATTGACCTTATGGTCAAGATTGTGATACACACTCTGATAATCATCTATGATGTCTCTATGATGTTTACCTCAAAAGTTTGAATCAGGGTATTTGTGTTCAAAGAGGTGAAGAAACTATACAGACAGATCTAAGATTTTCGAAGCATACATATTAATGAGGTTAAAGGAGCTATAACACTAGATTATTAAAAAGAAAGAACACAAACTCATAGAAATGATATTGAAAGTACCTTAAATGAATAAAGTGTCATGCTCCAAGGTGTGCTTTAACAGAAGGTTTACAGCAGTCCCATGCACTCATAAGAAGATCTTGGGTAGTAGAAACACCAGGAAATTTTAATTCCACACAATCAGATCATCTTACATCAGTTATATGGTTACAGTCTTTATGCATAATCAAGAGGGTCATTCAGATTTCTTTTCTGGTCATCCTGATGGGCCACATTATAGTATTCTTTCCCTGTGATATAATGTTAATATTAAATGAAAAATTGGGAATTCATCAGCAATTGAAGTCAAAACTTGCTATCTTTACCAACTATGCTATTAAGGAAGCTGGGGGTTAACAAATTAGCCATATTTAACTTATTCCACAGATATGCTATCTTTAGCTGTTAACTATCATTTGGCACAGAAAAACTTCATACATTTTAGTTTTAAAATTTGATCATGAATTTTTATGCCTTTTCTTGTGAAGGATATCAATATGGTTTAAACATGACCATGACCACCAAACCCCCTTTATTTAAAAAATCATATATCATTTACTTATCAATTCCAAAATATAAACATGCATATGTAACAAAAAATAAATAAATAAATAAATAAAAGTTACAATTGTATCTCATTGAAACTTTACCTTCAAGTTTGTGTGTTTGTATGTTGATTGACAAACTGTGTATTTCCAAAAGAAGACCAGCAGCCAGGCTTCACTTCATAGAGAATGGATTATAGATGGTTAGGAACAAAACATATCTTCCAGGTTGAGGACTGTATAGAAAATAAAACCCATTTTGTTATTATGATTTAAATTACATGAGACAATGCCTCTTATAAATGTAATGTAAAATAATATCTCTTATATATATGGATTTCTATACTCTTATCATATTAAATGTCATTTGTAAAATGTATTTTTTAAGACAGGTTTATTTAGGATAGACTTTAAATGATGACATGAATAGCAGGCCATACTTTAAGCACATGACAAAACATTATCTCAAATTTCACAGAAATGGGCTATTTAGCATAGCCGACATTAAACATATAGGTGAGTGGTAACATAATCACAATCATAAACAATGTGAAACAACTTTAAAAGACCTACACGGTGGATTACAAGTCTTTTTTCACTGGGGTAAAATCTTGCCGAGATTCGCCATGGCCGCTGAACCCGAACCCGACTGTATAAAGATGAAGTCATACATTTCATGTTGATGACTGTAGAAATAAAAGCATTTTTTAAATATGACAGAGTACTGCATGAAACAATGCATGTTTAAATACAACATGTACAATGTCAAAAAAGATCATGAAAATATTTTTGTTTAGACTCAAAACAAATTGTTTTTAACATTAACTCGAGATGAGAAAAGTTCATCATGTTATTTATAGATGATATACAAGCACAACTAATGTATTAATATCACAAATAAAATGATTATTAAATTAATTATTTAGACACTAAAAGACTTTTTATTAACAGCAGATTCAATTTTGGTTTAATAGCTATCAGTAATGCATACAGAAAAATACATATTTTATTTTTTTTTTAAAGCATCATCACAGTACAACATGTAGTCCTTCATTTTTTTTTGAAAAGCTCATTACCAAGAAACAAAAGTGAAAATGAAAATATATGTATAGCATATATCACACATATTTAGAATCAAAACAAAAAGTAAATGACTTAGGATTAATCTTTTGTAAATTCCTCCTTTTCTCTTATTAGATTCCTAATTAATATCTCTTTGATCACCATTTAGTAAGTCTGAATTCCATGGGTAACAAACATAATGAATTATGAAATTATATCATGATTTATATGAATGTAAGTTAGAGACAACAGATCACATAAGTATTGCACAGTAATTAAATTAACCATATAATCATGCTTAAATGCAAAGATGACCTTCATAGGGAATGTAAACAATTAAAAAAAGACAAACTCACCAGAGATATCCAACTATATGCCCAATAAGCCTATCCATTAAATAATCCAGTGAAATAACATCTCAGCTGATCCTGAAAAAAATCATACAATACAGTGATACACATTTAACCTCATTTTACAATGTAAGTAAAGCAATAATTTACAGACAAAAGGGATAGAAATGTAAAAAGATACCATGTATTTTATCAAAATTTAGTGAATATTTTTCTGATTGAAATTCAATCATAGAATGACCTATCATAAAAATATTAAATGTATTTTGAGTTACATGCAGGTTATATAACTGTAAATCACATGAAATGAGGATAAATACAGTATTTAAATTCAAAATAGAACTTTACATATAAATCATGGTTAAATGCAAAGATGACCTTCATAGGAAATGTAAACAAAAATAAGACAAACTTACCTGTAGAATATATCTGTCAGAAAGGAGATTTCAAAAATGAACACGCTCTCAACATTCACATGACAAGAATGCATCAGGATGTTTACTTCCGTGGTGATAGAGAAATTGAGCTTTATACAAGAAAAGCTTCATAACATAACAATCATCAAAGTAAAAGAGAGGAAAAACAAAAGATAGTCCTACATTTTTTGAAAATCTATGTTGACTTCTTAGAAACAAAAGTGAAAATGAAACTTTAATTTTACAAGTGTATGACGTCATAATGCATAGGGTAGCTCGCTGACATGGATGACGTCACAATGCATAGGTAAGTTTTATCGTACTTTTTGCACACAGCACTTTATAGATGATGCAAGAGGAATATAAGGAAACACAGGTAAAAGGTATATTTCTTTTGCACACGACTCTAATTTTTTGCACACGGTTCTTTACAGTTGATGCAAACAGGTATAAAAACGCAGGTAAAACGTATTGATTCTTGTTATAATCTGTCTTGTGTGTGTTATTTGTTATTGTTTTCAGTAAAAAATCCAGGTTTTTGTTATTTGTCTTTTTCAGTAAAAAACCAGTTTGAACTGGTTAAGCTGTCTAGACTGTGAAGCGTGACGTCATAATGACATTCTTGTAATGTTTTTTGCACACGGTGCATTTACCTGTATAGTTAGCATAAACAAAACGTAGTACCAACGTACCAATGTAAACACAGTGTAAACAACTCCGTATTTAGGGGATAGGTTAGGTTAGGGTTAAAAAGGGGTTAGGGTTAGAGGGGGCTAAGGGGGATAGGGTTAGTTATGGCTAGGGGGTTAGGGCTAGTTAGGGCTAGGGGGGGTTAGGGTTAGGGTTAGTTAGGGCTAGGGGGGTTAGGGTTAGGGTTAGTTACGGCTAGGGGGGAGGGTTAGTTTGGGTTAGGACTGCACTCAGTTGACCCCCCTATCCCCCAGGGGCTGCACTCCCTTGCCCCCCCTTTCCCCCAGGGGCTGCACTCAGTTGACCCACCTATCCCCTCCACCAATCAAAACTGATCACGTGATTTCTCTCAGCCAATCAGAATGCGGTCCTAGCGGGACGGTTTATACTACTAACATTCGTAAACTATAGTTAACAACCGTTAAATATAGTTTTAGAGATGCACGAAAACTATAGCTAACGAATTGTAAACTAATAGCTCATGGTTTGTAAACTACAGTTTACAGTCGATAAACATAGTTTGTGTGTGGGTATGTATGTCATCGTTACCTTTGCACTGATTTGAATAAATGCGACATGATCTCAGAAAAGACTGCTTGTTCGAAAGTTTCTACAGTGTCAGCGGATAAGAAAAGGCCGTAGGAATGAAACATTTGGTAAGTTTTTGTCCCTGTGAAAAAATTTCACTCACTTATCGAATAAAATTAACGAAGCGATGGAAAATCCCGGATTGTTTTTACTGACGTTATCCTGGTGATGACGAACATTAGCACCCTTGAAATATGAAAGTCATAGCTCCGACGTAACGTCAGGAATTCTACATGTACTAATAGGAAATAATACGCTTAATCCATTTTCAGCTTATATTTGCAGTACAGGCTTCATAACAAGTTAAATTGATGCAAAGCATCAAATCGGCCGCAAAAAAAATTTACATGTAGCATTAAAGAAATTTCTTTCACAATTTTCAAAGTGTCCATGCAAGGAAAGCGCGTCAAGATATTCAAAAGTGAAATAGTTGAATCATTTTTATTTTAGGCTGTCTTCAAAGCAAAATAAATAATTAAATAAAATTAAAACAAATAGACATATAACAGCATTAAAATTTTACTTATAAATAGATTCATCGATGTTAGTTAAAAAGGTCAGCGATAAATGATAAGAATTTATTGTCATCAAAAAGAAGATGTAGGTCTCTCAAGATGAACCGCGTGCTGATACCCTGGATCTTGGTCACGTGATAATGCCCATGGCTATGCTGCAAGGCGCTGTGCAAAATGTAGAAAAATGTCTTTGTATCATTTTCAGCTGTAGAGCAAGTTTAAAACATTTTTAACCGGTTGAATTTTTTTAAATAATTTTTATTCACCATGCACTTTTACTCGTCATTACTATCCGGAAAATCATGACGATTTCCTTTCATATCTTATACACTCCCAAGCTGGGGAGTATTTATTGTAAACACTTTTTACATAACAATAAATTATCAATTATCTGATGAGAAATGATAATTAAATTGAAACACAGTAGCGGCAATTAATACTAAATTAAAAGCAACATTTTAAAATATTTTACTCATGATTTTTACTTGTCATCATTTGAGAAATATTTTCCTGGACTAATGAAAAATAACGTCTCATTTCCCCATGTGTACTAAAATAGTCACTTTCTTATGGAATCCGGATAGGGCCACGCAGTTTACTATCGCATCATCGCACCATCGAGATTTGAGTCAATGGTGCGATGAGGCGATAATGCGATGACGATGGAGCGATGAAGCGATAACGATGAAGCGATGGTGCGATAGTGCGATGACGATGATGCGATGGCGCGATAGCGCGATGACGATGATGCGATGGTGCGATGAAGCGATAATGCGATGACGCGATGGCACGATAGCGATGATGCGATGGTGCGATAGGATTCCATACTTTCTAACACAATCACAAATAGATCGGCCGCTGCTGCGGCCGATAATAAACATGTAGTGTTATATATGAAGATAAAGGATTTTTTTCTCACCAATAATGTTGTAACCAAAAGAAGTATTATCACAAGGTATGCACACATTGACAGACTACTATATTTCGGAATAACGTCAATTTTCGTCTTGTCCCGTTGTAACAGAAAAATACCTTTAACAGAGTTTATTCTAGAAAAAAATTGAAAAATCTTCTCGCATTTCTTTGATATTTTATGTGATTGTTTTCTTACATCATATTTAGATATAATATATGTTTGTTGACAACCTCTGTTAAGAAAATACATACCCAAATTCTTTGAAATAAAAGTCCTTTAAGATGTCCCATATTCAATGAAAATTTAGTGTAACGCATTTTCCAGGGTGAAAAAAGAAAATTTTGTCGGTAAAATTTACAAATTTGAATTAATATACAATGAGTACTTTAAAGCAACAACTTGTTCCAAAAAGATAATGAAAATTTTCCATGCGCAAAGGTATATTTAATCAAACATAATCCGTGTCTTGGAAATATGTCCCGCTTCATAAATGATGCCATGTCAAATATATATCAGTTAATAGCTTATTGATTTATTCCGAATTCAGGAGGCAATATTTATTAAGATTTATATCAGTGGAAAGTACTGAGAAATTACTTTTGATACACACAGGTTTCATCAGATCTTACCGATTAATAACAAAATTACTAAAGAATCGAAATGTCTTGTGGAAATGTCCCCAGCTACTTAAAATGACGTCTAACGTTATAAGAATGCACGATTTGGGACAAACGTCAATGTGCATTTCCTAGTATAATACGTTTGCATATTGTACCCTTCATATTTAGCATGGTAATCTTCGGTTATCACCCCTCTGTATCCTTAAATTGTTTTTTTGTTAATTATTTTTTAAATGTTCACCATATTAAAACGATTATCGCACACAAATGTAGTTACAATTTTATATTTACATCCACTGAATATTTTCTCCCTTATTTCTTAAGAAACCCCATTGCGTTAATTACTGCATGGACTACAGTCGGCATGTCGCCTGTACAGATTTCTTAATCAGTGGCTGTTCCATCAATGAAACGTATAAAGACGTTCGCATCATTAATACAGATATAAATATAAACAATAAAATGCTTTCTTTTTTTGTTATTACTGGAATTAACGGTCGCAGCTATTGCAGAAAAAAATTTACATAGCATTTTTCTGCAACAGCTGCTTCCGTTAATTCCAGTAATAACAAAAAAAGAAAGCATTTTATTGTTTAAAAATCCATGCAAGTGCAGAATTTTCTTTTCATATGCAAGAGAGAAAACAATGATAGGCTGATGAATTTAAAATACAGCGTAATTTGTTTTGATGATCTGCTTTATCGAAAAAGTATAGATATTTACCCAAGGTTCTGTCAACAAATTACTATTAATAATTACTTCAGTGGGATAAAATGTAATTCTTTAAGATTATATTTAAACACTGCACGTAAAAAAAATTCATATTGACGTCGTTTTGACGTTACAACGTTGAGTAGCAATTCCTGACGTTACGTCTCCACTAAATATTTCCATTTCCAATTGTTTTCTCTATGATAAACACTACAAAAGCGATTCTTGTTAATTTCATGGTAATACCCTGTGGTATGTATATTTCTCTATTACTGAAAGGTCAGGTGTCAACCTGCATGTATATCACTGGCGTATAAATATACAAAAGAGAAAAAATAGATGTTTTGTTTAATTGTTTACTAAGTAATTTGATATGATATATCTTTTTAACAAACAAAATAAATAATGTATTTTCGGCTCGAAAGCAAGTCACTATCGCAAAGCTGTCCACTATCACTGAGGCCTCGCGAGACCCAGAACTCCACTTCCGTAAACATGGTTAAACAGCCACGTGGAGAAATTGACATTGCCACATGGATCTGCACGTACTACATCATCTGATACAGACATCGTCCTTCAGTCATTACCATCCGACTTCTTAAGCAACTCAACTTCTTCTGTTATTTTAACATCCATACAAATCGGTTTCCTGACCATGCAGACCCATATGAGGCGCCGTTTTAATATTTTTGAGGTATTTTCTGATATCAAAAAAGAAATTATTGATATCAATAATTCGAATTCTTGATATCAAAAAATATTTTTTGATATCAAAAAATAATTCTTGATATCAAAAAATAGATTTTTTGATATCAAAATATAGATTTTTTGATATCAGAAAATGATTTTCTGATATCAAAAATTTGAATTCTTGATATCAAAAAATTGTTTTCTGATATCAGAAATTCGATTTTATGATATAAAAAAATCATTTTCTGATATCAGAAAATAAACAAGATTTTTTGATATCAAAAATTTAAATTCCTGATATCAGAAAATTATTTTCTGATATCAAAAGATCGAATTTTTGATATCAAAAAATCATTTTTTGATATCAAAAAAGAATGAAGAATTTTTTATATCAAGAAATATATTTTCTGATATCAAAAATTCGATTTTTTGATATCAGAAAATAAACACGATTTTTTGATATCAAAAAATCGAATTTCTGATATCAGAAAATCATTTTTTGATATCAAGAATTCTAATTTTTGATATCTGAAAATGATTTTTTGATATCAAAACATAGGTAATCAGAGAT